GAAGTGAGATTTATTTTATTGTTCCTTTATAAATTTGATAAAACACATTTTTTAGAATATTATCAGTAAAGCCTCTTGCTTCAGGTATTGTCCACTATTTCAAAACACTGTCTTATTATTTTCTTTTTTATATAGGAATTTCAGAAACAGCTTACTAAAGCTAAAAGAATAATGATCATAGGAAACGGTGGTATAGCACTTGAGTTAGTGTAAGTATGTTTTAAAATATTATTTAAGAATTGCTCTGTGGTTCATATGAGTATTAGCAGAAAACATACCCTGAAAATCAAAGATAAACATAACTATTTTTCAGTGTTTTCAAGGAAAAAAAATAGTTCTTATGGAACCCATCTCTGTAGAAATTTCCTCACAAAACATAAAGGGTTTGGGAATGCTTTTGGTCTGAAGGGCTGATAAACTGGTGGCCGGGAAGTTTTCATGCATAGACGTGCTTTATAACTATGCACTGTGTATAAAAATAATTTACATGTATACACCTAAGAAATTTCATGGCCTATACACTTTATTGCTTATACCCACCCTCCTTCACTCATTTAATTTGTTACCTGTCTGGCCAGTGAAACCCAATAACAGTAGACATGGTACTCCTAGGGCTAGGGATATAGCTCAGTTGGTAGAGTGCTTGCCTTGCATATGCAAGGCCCTGGGTTCAGTCACCACCACCACTCCCCCAACAACAACAACAAAAAAGATGTGGTTCTCCCAATTCTTAGTTTTGTTTGTTTGTTTGGGGGGGGGCGGGTAATATTTTCATTTTAAGATGATATTTCAAGTTCAAAAAAATGTTGAGAAATAGCCTATTGTGAACTGCAGAACACTAGTTCACTTTCCTTGTGATTTTTGTCTTTCAGTAGGTGGCTAACATACATAGTCTAGATCTCTTTTGGGCCAGAAAGTTTGGGTCAAATCACAGAAGGAAAAACTTGAATAAAAATAAGGAATATGCCAAGCCTGCCTTTGCTTATGCATCCACTCCAACTCTTAGAATAGTTTTTGCCCTTGTGTTTTTAGGATGGTCAATCCCATTGGAAGCCTATAAGAGTTCAGCAATAACTTAAGTTTTAGAGGTAGCAATCATTATTATGATAGGAAGCTTCTGTCATTGTATAGAAAAAAATGCAGAGAAAATTCTAGAGTAGTAACCAAAATTCAAGCCATGGGGGGAGAGGCACAGATGTAGAAGGGGCTTCAGATTGTTTGTACATGTGACAGATAATCTTCATCAGCTGTCACCAAAAGTATCATATAATAATTATTATAATTTACATTTAAAAGCTTTCTTATGTTCCAAAATGTTTATAGTCTCCAACATTTAATCTTTTATCGTTTTCTTTATGTTGAAGAATGAAGACTATAAACATGGATAAAACATAATTTTACACACAGTAAGCTATTTGATAGCTTAAGAATGGTCACAAGTATTGCTATTCTGTGTTTGGATCCATTGAATGATTAGTTCTCTGTCTCCCAGGATGAAAAATGACATATGTAAACCCTTTCTACTCTTTAATACCATCTGTGTTCCACAGAGACTAACACTAATTTTGTTCATCAGTATCCCCTTATTATCTGTTTCTTCTTTCCAAGTACAGATTAATTCTTTCCTTTTCAAACAGTTTTTCACAATTTTACCAAACTGTGATACCACGCTATTGTCTATTTTTTGAGTGGTTTTAAAAAT